AAAACATAACACAATCATGCTTTCATAAGAACCAAACACTCCAACTTCTCCACCACAAACTCCATCAAGTATGATTAATTGCTTCACAAAAACTAAGAAAAGAAAGAAAATGAAACAAAAGGCCAAAGATCTAAAGATGTGGCTTGAAAAGAAGGTATAAGGCTCAAATGGTTGCAAGAAGGCAAATGTAAACCCAAAAATAAAGATGAAACGAACTATCCTAAAAAGTAAAAATTACCACCCCGAAAAGATGCCTTTGTCCTCCCTAGATGGTTCGGTCTCGGGTTTAAGAATCATAGATCAAGCTTTCTAGATTAGGTCCGCGATAGTCAAGGATCCACGCCGCTGATTCAAATTAGGTTGAAGGCTTGAAAAACAATGAACCTCACATGGATACAGCAAAAACTCACTATTGGTGTTAAATTAACTATAGGGAGCAACTACCAAGCATGCCACAAACAAGTAGAATCTGGCTTCATGTTCCCACTAGTTCTAACCAACTACCTTAGCATGCTTTATCCTAGAATCAACCAAGCATACTCTCAAACTGTTCACACCGTTAACATTTAGGAAGAAAAGCATTCAATTATACAAGTCCAAATGTTATTATGTCCAAAGAAAGAACAAAACAAAACACATTGCAAATTTGCCTTGAAAGAAACAAAATCTTTTTGGAGTTTTACAAAATAAAAGAACATGGAAAAGCATATACAAAGGTGCATAACATATATGGATCAACATCCCACCAAACATGATAGAATACCCTCCGCCAAGCTTGAATGAGACAATACACTCAAACATAAATCATATAATCCATGGGAGGGGAAAACAAGGACATCAATCCAACTAACTAACATATGTCCAACAAGTCATCATCCACTAGAGAAAGAGAAAGGAAGGATATTACCGGATATTAGGTGGGTGTAAATACCCGCAAATGACCCAATCAAACCTTTCAAAGCTAATTTCTCAAGAATTGAACCTTGTTTCCATATGCTAGCAAAAATAGAAGTCAACCTTCCTTGATTCTTTATCCAAATCAAAGCACCAAAGTATATCAACTCATGCACCTAGAAAAAGGCACACAAACATTTCCATGAGAGAAAATCTATTCTAAAAAGAAGAGGAAAATCTAATCTAAAACACGGGTTACTTCCCGAGAAAGGCTTGCTTCAGGTCCAAGCTTGACCGCTATAATAAAATAATATTGTAACGATCGCAAGAGCTTGTCAAATGCACTACTATACATTTCATATGATAACAAGTAGGCACAAGAAAAATAACGAACGTGCAACAAGATCATTGCACGCAAGTGAGAAGGGAGGTGCCAAAAGAAAGAAGAAGAAGGATCAAAAGGAAAAACAAGAAAATAAGAAGAAGAAGGGGGAAAAGAAGAATGGAAAGAAAACGAAAAAGGCAAATCCTCCTCACTAAAATATTTTTGGTTGGCAATATTCTCCTCTTCCTCAACAATGATGGAATGAGGGACATTAAAATCATCCATAGAAAAGGGCTCCCCAATAGGCTCTTTGAGAAAGGAAGGGAGAAAAATAGGGCAATAGGGTATGTGGTCAAACCTTTGAGAGAAAGGGGTATGAGAAATAGGCAAAGGGGTAGGTACTCCCTCGACACAAGGTCTCACATCTCCAAAGAGGGCATGAAAATCAATCATAGAGTCCTCAAAAGAGGAACACTCATGATCACCATCTCCCTCAAACATCCAACTCCCAAGAGGAACCACATAATCTCCTCCACTACTTTCATGAACAACAACTCCCTCAACTTCCTTAAAGCCTAGAGTCTCAAAACCATGCATGAATAGATGCAAATTCATCTCAAAATCATCTCTCTCCCATGAAGCTTTCTCAATGAACTTACTTAAAAGGCTACGAGTATTCCTTTTACCCTTAAAAAACACATTTGCCATAACCTCAAACAAGTCCAAATACTTATGGATAAAAGAGTCACATTCATACACTTGAGACTCATCAAGATGGGAAGGAGGGTTAGGATTTACAAGTCCAACATTCTCTTTGTTCTCAACTACTTCACCATCAAACAAATTCTCATCAATTGTATCCTCACACTCTCTTGGTTGCTCAAAATAACCATCATCATCCTAAACACACACATTGGATTTGTAATTTTCACACACAAGCATCAAGGGTGACAATTGGCTTTTTAGCTCTTCACCACTCCTTCTTCCCTCCTCAAGATACTCCACACTCTTTTTCATCACCTCCAATTGAATTCTCAAAGAATTAAGAATCGACTCCTTTTTAGGCCCAAGATCATCATTAAGCTCAATATGCCTAATTTGAGTTTCCAAAGTAGCAAAAAGAGATTTAAAGGGTGTAGAGGATTGAGGCTCAACAAGAGAAGAAGAAGTGAAACCAAGATTGGAAGAATTGACATTGAAATCATGAGCATATACATCACATTGGAGAGTGGGGGCACAATCAAACATATGAGATTTGTTAACATGAGCATGCACTTCGTTATCATGAACAAAAGAGGAAATAGAATTGGAAGCATTTGTTCTATGTTCAACTATGGGATCATGTGACAAATCATGGGAAATCATGCTAGCATTGGAAGAATTAACACATTGCACATCAAAAATAGAAACATGATTACCCCTATTATATTCACCCCTAGCAAATCGAACATAAAAATTCCAAGCATCATCAATTGACAATGCTCTAAATCTCCCATCATGCATTCATTAAACTTCATTCCTAGTTTGTTCATTCAAACCATAATAGCAAATCTCACAAGCCTCCCAATAACTACAATGATTGTAGTTCAAGAACCTTATAAGTCTATGGAAATAGGTATGAAAAGACTCATCAACATATTGAGGAAAAGAAAAACGTGCCATTTTTTATAAAGCAAACAAAAATCAAATAAAAGAAAAGTAAAAACAACGACCTAGACTCAAGCAATCAAAAACTCTCAAAAATAGACACCGTTCCCCAGCAACAGCGCCATTTTGACGTGGGGTGAACTAGGTCGTTGGACTAATCCTCCCTAAGCCAAACAAAATTTATAAACACTTAACTAACCTAAATACAAGTATTGAGGTAAGTCAAGGGTCGAACCCAAAGGAACGATAATGTCTAAGTGCTTTCAATTTGGGTGCCTAAGCTAGGTCGAAGACGAAGGAAAGGAGGTGACACTAATAACTACTTAAACGAAGAAACCGAACAAATAAAGTGCTAGGGATTAGGATTCACATATAATAGCAATGAACATAGCAAATTGGGATAGGAAGTTGACTAAGTCGAGTGATGCAAGGGAAAACCAATCATGCAACCAAAAGAGCATATCATGCTATTTTTCTAGATGTCTAACTAGCGTCAACTACGATAAACTCTAACTAGGAACGTCACAAGACACCTCAATCGTTAAATGCAAGCCACAAATCAATTGTCCGTATCAATGTGAACTTACAAAGCAATCTTGTGCAATAATCAAAGTTGGCCATTCTTCAATCAATTACACACATGCACATGATCAATCGACCAATTTATTCACATGACCAACTCCATCAATTATCCCCAATTTACATCAATCCATCACATCATATAAGCTTCACCATAACCCTAGCAAGCAAACTACTCTAACAACATCATCAAATCAACAAACAACTATAGAAAACAAGAATCAATAATCTATCAAGATCAATTACTCTAATCAAAGATCAAATATCAAAATCCAAACAAATCCAAAACAAATCAAACAAACATGAATATTATACAAAGCAATAAATGAGATAGAGTTTTTTTTTTTGGGAAAATTGGGGGAAATTTTATTACCAAAATAAAAATGGTTACAACTTACAAAGGAGCTAAGTTGAAACCAACCCAAACTACACAAGACCCTTAAGGGCCAAACAGCACCACCAAACAAACAATAAAACCTAAAGGCAGCAAGCAAACCCAGGCCATCTTCTAGGAAGGGTTCTTGAGAAAACAAGCTGCCAACTCTAATTGCACTAACTGTCAATGCATCCACCTTCCAGGAAGGGTGCTATAGAAATAGCAGCACAGACAGAGCAAATACAAACTAGGCCAAATAACAACAAAACGAACCAGGCCAAGAAAACAAGGAAAGACCAAAGACAAAACTTAAGCAGTAAGGATACCTGTAAGATGTAATAAAAATGATATCTCTCACAACACTGGCAACAGTTTTGCAGCTCCCTGTAAAAAGTACAGAATTCCTTTGAGTCCAGATGCTATAGACAATCTCAGTGAAAGCAACATGCAGCAATTGACTCTTAGTGCTAGACTTCCTGCAATACTTCTGAATCCAAGCAACTTCCTCATCAAATCTCTGGGAAAGCTTAGAAATATGAAAAATACTCAAGATTCTGCTCCAAATCAGTCTAGAAAACTCACAATCAAAGAACAAATGTTGCACATTCTCATTCTCTTTCAAGCAGAAAAAACATTTAGGGTCACAAGAGATATGCCATTGCAATAACCTGTCCTTAGTAACAAGTCTATTCCATAAAGCCAACCAAAGTATAAAAATACTTTTAGGGGAAGCAAGATTATTGCAAACAACCCTTTTCCAAGTCATCTTAGGAGCCTGGGGTCTAATAGTAGAATAGACTTTTTTAATCTTCATTTTGTTGCCCTGAATAAAGCCATCCCAACCCCTAGATCATTCACCACATCTCTACAACTCGGAATTTTCTTTAAGAACCAAGAGCATTTAGCAGGGATAGGGGCAGTCCAGCTATCTTTATGTTTGAAATAGTAAATGTGAACCCATTTTACCCATAAATTATCAGCTTTATGAGCAATATTTTAGAGAAGCTTTGTGATAGCAGCTTTGTTCCACTCAGGGAGAGAAATTAGATTCCATCCACCACAAACTTTAGGAAGACAGACACTTTTCCAAGCAACTAAGGACTTCCTAGCAGGAGAAAAAGAGCCAGTCTAGAGGAAACATCTAAACCTAGCTTCAATCTCCTTCAGGATCTTCTTAGGCTAAATGAAAATTTGAGCCCAGTATGTCTGAATGCCAAAAAGAACACTCTTAATTAACTGAATCCTCCCAGCATAAGAAAGGTGTCTAGCCATCCACCCTTGGATTCTTGCAGTAACCTTTTCAACTAGAGGCTTACAATGAGAAATAGTAAGCTTCTTAGAGGAAAGGGGCACACCAAGATACTTGAAGGGAATAGAGCCCTGAGAGACCCCAAGAAGATCTCTAAGCTCAGTCTGAATATCAACAGAAACACCACCAAAATAGACTTCACTTTTATCAAGATTAGCAAGAAGACCTAAAGCTTTGGAAAACTTAGAAAAGGCATGAAAAAGAAGCTTAACATACTCACTGTCAGCTCTAGAGAACATAAGCAAATCATTAGCAAACATCATATGAGTTAGGCAAAGTTTTTCACATCTAGGGTGAAAATTGAAATTAGGGTTCAAGCTAAGCTCATAGAGACATCTGGATAGGTATTCCATAGCAATAGCAAAAAGAAAGGGGGACATATGATCATCTTGTCTCAAACATTTCTTTGCTTCAAATGGAGGGGCAGGCATACCATTGATGAGAATAGAGTATGAGACAGAAGTTACACATTTCCAGATCCAAGCAATAAAAATCTGAGGGAAGCTGAGCTCTTGAAGATCATTCTTTAGAAAATCCCATTCAATTGAGTCAGAAGCTTTCTTCAAAGCCACCTTAATCATACATCTAGGGGTAATAAACCTGTGATTATATCCCTTAATAAGCTCAGTTGCAAGAAGAATGTTATCACCAATGTGCTTCCAGGAATGAAGCCTGCTTGAGCATCATCAATGACATCTCCAATAACAAAAGCAAGCCTAGCAGTAATAATCTTGGAAATGAGCTTATAAACAACAATGCAACAAGAAATGGGCCTAAAATCCTTGACATGAGAGGCATTGGGAACTTTAGGAACTAGAGTAATAGAAGTGCAATTCCATTTCTTTTGCAAAACCCCATTCTCAAAGAAATCAAGCACACTAGCATAAATATCATCTTTAATAACATGCAAGATGTTTCGGGTTTTTTTGGATTTCCTCGGATACTGGTCACGCTCTCCTGGCAACGAGACGGTCCCACCTGCAAAACAACGAATATTCCGATCAACGGAATATTCGCCTCCGACGATCAAGTCAGTGATCAGAACGGAAAAGGCTAGAGAGAGAAAGTAGAGAGAAGGTGGAGCTATTTAATGCTCTATTGTTTGTAAATGTCTTGATCCCCTCCCATCATAAATGATTGGAGTATTTATAGGGGTGGGACTCGTGCCCCTCTCTAGGGTTTATACCCTAGATTTGCGTGACGTGATTGGATGTGCAATCAGTGAATGCCACGTGCTACTCTGGGGGCGCCGTTTTGCGGCTTTCATTGTTATCTCTCGGGATTTGGGCCCTGACGTTGCTAGGGTTTTCTGGCATGTTGATTATTAAGGGAACAATTGTCCTTAACACATGGCATCTTCTCGTGACGACACGTGTCACCCTCTAACTGGGCCACGTGTCGCGACGAGACTGGCATGCGGCCTTAAGGGCTCTGAATTACGTGGCATCTTCCCGTGGTGACACGTGTCACCCTATAACTGGGCCACGTGTCACTATGGGATTGGTCCATGTATACGGGGTATTTTTACCCACAACATTTGCCCCTCAGAAGGTGTGGCTCGTACGCTTACAGGCCGACTACTCTGACCTCAAATAGCCTTGGTGCGTACAAGTGTATTATGTTTTTGTCAGTTTTCCGTCCGCCTGAAAATTTTAGAGCGAACGCCTATCTATACAAATGGCGCGGACGAAGGTAGGTTGTCTTGCTTTTAGGAGAGGCGGCCGTCTCGCCATTGCGAAGAGAGCTTTAGCTCTGCCAACTTCCCTGGTCGAAGATAGGTCGTCTTGCTTTGGAGAGATGCGGCCGTCTTGCCATTGCGGAAAGGGCTTTAGTTCTGCCAACTTCCCTTTGGACGCGTCGTTTATTAGGTCACCTTCTTTTTCCCCTAATTTAACGGAGTTGCTCCTTGTCCCTCCAAATTTTAGGTCACATTTTCAAATTGTAACCGTTTAGCTGAGTTAGGCGGGAAAGATGAATTTACTATCTTACCCCCATAAATTTTCCCTATATATACAAGGGGTTTAACTTCATTTTGGCACTTTGGAACTTTACATTTTCTAGAGAGAAGTCAGAGCTTCTAGAGAGAGAAAGTGTGTTTTCCTTTGAATCTTCAAGAGCTCCGCCGTGTGGTTGAGTTTTTCGAGGACATTTGTTGAATTTCCCGATCAATCTTCAAGGCTTCTAAATTTTCAACACGTACAGAGGTAGGCCGCCTGTTTTTCTTTTCCTTGCATTTTTATTTCTTTGTTTATTTAAAAGTTGGCTCAACACTCGGCTTCGTCCGTTTCTCCTCATGAGGCCGGGCGTTCGCCTGGGACTGAGGAGTCTAGAGTTGACGGAGACGAGTTGTCTCCTTCATGGAGTGGGTCCATTTCTAGTGTGTACCAACTCACATCCATCCATTCTTCTCTATCCCTGCAGTCGAACGTGGCACGGACGATGCAAACGTACGATCGTCATGCGGCCAGAAATCAATACGGAAGTCTAGTAAACCCTAGGCCTCCGTATGACCCAAATAATGCCAACTTAGAGACCCCTTTTACCACTCCTACGACCGCTTCCACGGGCACCCACTGCTCGGCCGTGGAAGTAACTTCCTCGTTCGAGGAGCGTCAAAGAACCCAAGACGCTTCTACTACGGGGTACCGTCCGGGCGAACCCCGGGGTTGAGGTTCCCCCAATATGCCAGCTCGGTCATGGATGGGGCCGAGTTGCTATTCTGTGAAGGGCCTTCTTCTTCTTCTCGGGCGGACGCTGATGCGTTCGTCCCTACTCCCTCAGAACTCTATCTCCGATATGGCAGGTCGGACAGACCAAGAACGGGGGTTTCAATTAATGAACCGTCCGATCTGCCCCCTCTCAGAGCTCCTCCTACTGGGAGTCAGGCGGCCGGTGCCAAAGATAAGGGCAAACGGCCACTAGAAGACATTATCTCTCCCCGAGGCGGCCATAGTTCTAGGATCCGTAGCTCAGCGGAGGCAGCCGACCTGGACAGAGTGATGTCTTCCGAGTTTGGGAGCGCTCCTCAGTGAGAGGAGGATGAAGTTGAGAATGCGGCCGAGGGTGGAGCAGCGGCCGCAGAGGGCGAAGAGGCGGCTGAGGAGGATGTTGCCAATATTGACAACTTCAAGGATCCGTACGCCCACAGCCTTGGGCTACCTAAACTACAAATTTGAGGATTACAAGGCATTCCTCCACATTGGGGAGGGATTCGAGATACAGCCCCCACGGAAGTCCCGCGCCGTGGCCGCTTGGGAAGAAGCGAGGCCGCGCCAAAGATCCTTTAGCGTCTACAAGGCGGCCTTAGACGTTGGACTGCGCTTCCCCCTCCGTCCTTTTGTCCGCACAATCTTGGACGACTACAACATAACCCTCTTCTAGCTGATGCCAAACAGCTTGTTGAACATTTTTGGGTACTTGGTGACGTGCATCTCCCAAGGCTTCAAGCCAGACTTTGCAATTTTCTGTGAGATGCACTCACTGACTAAGCTGGACGCGGACACGGACGGCTGGTTCATCTTAAGCACCACTAGAGACTACATGATGGTGGTGGACCGCGTCTCTAAGTGGCGTGACTAGAAGCACCGATTCTACCGCATCAAAACCAAGGACGTTGAATTTAACTTGCGGATGAATCGGTTCAATGCTGACCCAATTCAACTTGGATGCGGGGACCTCAAGTCTGATAAGCCACCCGTCCACCCCAGCCAGGAGTACCAGCTTGAATATTTCAAAGTCAAGCGGGTGAGAAGGGGCGGCAGAACTGAACGCGTTCCAAGTAACTGGGTCCCTTTATCCAGCTGGCTGCGGGATCCCACATTTATGTTCGCCTATGGCCTGTACAAGAACCTGCCCCAAGTTGGACGCATGGACACATATTCTTACACATACGCAGATTATCTGAACTTGAAAAACTTTCTAACACTTTTTCCTTTTCTATTTCAGCGGAGGCGTACAAAATGCTTGACCAAGAGCACAAAGGGGAGGTCAACATGGTCGAGATTGACTTGGCTCGATACAAGGCTCGCCAGAAGCTGTACGAGCAAACTAAAGGAGTAAGTAAACCCATCTGGACTTCTTCCCCTCGTCCGTGTATGTATTACGGAAGAGATCTTCTTCCTAACTTGGCACGGCCTATCAATTATATTATCTTGCTTTCTTTTTAATAACTTTTGGCTCTACTGCTGGCCACTCCAACCCCTCGGTCCAAACGAAAGCAGTCGTCCCCTGCGTCCAAGACGGACCAGGACAGCAAGGCGTCCAAACAAAGGAAGACGGTCGCGTCCAAGACCACTTCCACTTCTGCGGCCAAGACGACGTCGCGGACTGCCTCTAAGCAGTCTAAAGGAGAACAACCCCGGCTATGTGATAGCGAGGCCTCTAAGTCCATAGATCCGGCCGCCATGCCGGGTCATGTTAGGTCCGAGAAATCGGATGATGGGGGTAAGTCGACCCCGGCAAAACCGACCGGGCCTGAAGTGACTCCGCCCGTCCAAAGAGTCAATGAATCTGATTGGCTTGATGCCATTCAGTCGGTCGGCGATCAGCCTGGCCGGACGGGGGAAGAGGGTGACGAGCTTGTGCCGCCCCCGCCATTCACTTTTAACCTTCCTATCCCTCCAAGCTTCTCTGACGGTCAGTCCGAGTGATTTTGGATTTTATACTTCGTTTTTTTTTTTTTGTTTTTTTTTTAAGCTTAAACTTAACTCCTTGCGTCCGCCTACAAACATTGCAGAGGAGTTACACATGAAGAGGCCTGGCCAGTCCCTTACTAGGGCGGACAGAAAAGCTATGCGGGAAGCCGTGGCCCGGGTCGTCCCTGCTGAGCAGCGAGATAAGCTGCGGGGGATACATGAGGGCTTCCTCAGCCCCATGATCAATTGCAGCGCAGAGGTAACTTTTCCCCTCAAATGCACTTAGTCAATTTTTCACTCTTACTTTGCTAACACATTTACCCTGTTTTTCTTGTGCGCAGCTTTTCTTGCGGATGACCGCCTTCCTTGAATGGAAGGAAAAAGAAAACGAAAAGTTGAAGCGCGCCTGGGAAAACGTCCTGAAAGCCCAGGATGCTGTTACTGGGGAAGTGGCGGTCCTGCGCCGATATTTCGATACCCAGATCAATGCGCTGTCCGACAAGGCAACACGGCAGGCGGAGGATCTGGTGAAACTGGGTAATTCCCTCGAACAAGAGGCCTTATATAGGGACACTATGAGGCAGGAGAGGGATCAGGCCCTCCTGGACGGCCAACGCTGGAAGAAGGGATTTGAGGCTTCAAAGAAGCTCAGAAGTGAGGTGTCCTTGGCCCAAAAGCATTTAAAAGAATCCCTGGACGAGGCGGACGCACTTAGGGCCGAGATGGAGACCTTGAAGAAGTCTGTTGAGGACTTGACTCTCCAGCTGAAGACGCCTCGGGCCCCTAGCGCAGACGAGGTCGTCCGTATTGAACAAAACGCTAAGGATAGGCTGATGAGTCACTTCTTCGAGGCGTTCGAGCTCATGGTGGACGATGGGGAGGCCGCCTATTTCAAGAGCGCTCACTAAGCGCCTCAACTTCGTCTGCCTCAAGGAAGAAGCTAAGAA